TATATAATCGCTTTAATTTCCTTTAATTATTATTGAGATTAATTATTTTCTTTTTTTTTTAGAACGATAAAAAATATATATAAAAAAAATAAAAGTTTGATTATACAACTAATTGCGACGTTCCATAGCAAATAATGTAAACTCATCAAATCGAAAATGTTAAAGAGAAAGAGCGAATATTTTAATATGCGTATGAAATGAACAATAATTCCACAACAGACTTTAATTAATTCGCATAATTATACATATATATATATATATACGTATACGTATACGAACATGTGCTATACGTGCACAATATATTTCGAAATAAAAATATGAAAATGAATGAAAGCTAAAGCTCGGTGTTTTTGTTATCTTTCCTCATTTTTTCGCTTTTCATTTTACATTTATTTGAATGTTTCTTATCATTTTTCCGCGCGTGTCTTTCATACGAAAGTAATTTCATGGTTGATAATAACAATGGCAAGCTAACGTAAGTGCAAACCAAATAGAGATATTTAAATCTCGAGAGATTAATAATGCGCGAGTTAGAAAGCGAGTCCGTGCGAAGTAATTCGGGAGAGTTTCCAACGTTACAAGGAGCATTATAATTGCACTCTCCCCATTTTGCGATATTACAAAAGCAATATTCGAGCTTGTCTTGATTTTTCGTGTTTATTGTACTTACACGATGTACAAAAGTTGTTTACCATAATGTTTTATACGACAATGAATGATAAATCGTAATTACTAACAAAAATTCCAATGATTATGATTACAATAATTTTGCATTATTATACATATATATTTATTATTATTCGAAGAAAATCAACGTACGTATATATCTATATATATATATATATAATATCTATGCATACATTTGCCTATTAGATAGTTTCTCGGTAGACGAGGAACACGAGTGCAAACCACAGAACCATTCGCATATGAATTTTACCCTTCATCCTCGCTCCGATTCGCTCGGTTCCTCTTTTCCCAGGAAACCTTTAGAAAAAAAAAAGAAAAAGAATATATATATATAAAGAGAGAGAAAAAGAGAGAGAAAAATTGTGGTAGGTAAATATGTACCTGTATCGTGGTTTCCTTTTGAATCTTTTCCTCTCTGTCTCTCCCTCTCTCTTTGATCAAACAAACTTATTTGAAAGTCGTACGTGGATGCCTTTCGTTACCTCGGATATTTTTCGAAAGACTGTTTTTAAAATGATGGACAGTTTCGTGTGGTATCAAGAAGACGCGATAAAAGTACTGCTGAAAGGGCTAAATGGATGAGAGATCCTCTCGTGATTTATACGGGAAATCGGAAATAAAAGTAACGCGTAAAATTCGAGACTGGACGAGTAAGAAAGAAAGAAAGAAAGAAAGGAAAAATAAAAAGAGAGAGAGAGAAGGAGAAGAAGAGAGTAAGAGAAGTTTGGATGCGGCTTGTGCACGTAGTAACTAAGCTCGTACGCCATCAAACAACTCTAACTTTACTTCACCCTCTGCTTTCTCTTTTCCACTTCCTCTCTCTTTCTCTCTTTCTTTCCGCGAAGAGTTCTTCGTTACCTTCTTGTTTCCATTAAGGGTGATGTAGTGCATGAAACGCTTTATCCTCGCTTCTTACACGACTCCACCTACTTTATCTTTCTCCCTTCCACCTATTCCTGCACTCTAATGTTTTCTATACTTTTTTAAACACTTCGTATCGAACGATTGATCAATTTTTCTAATAAATATATATACTTATTTAAAAAATATATATAATATATTATCGTTAAAAAATATGACACGTTATACGAATAAGGATCGAAAAATGTTGAGCGTCACACGGTATAGAAAACCATAAAGCTCAAAATTTACCACGTGTTGAGCTAAAAACTTTTCAACTCCATCTCGTGGAAGGCTCAAAACTTTTCAACCTTCCTCGTTGGTAGGCTCGAAACATTTCACCCCTCTCCGTTTATAATTTCAAGACTTTTTTCAGCTCACCCATGTATATTTTTTTTATGCGTTATTTTTTTTTTTTTTTTTTTTTTTTTTTTTTTATTTAAGTAAACTTTTTAGAAAAAAACTTATATTTTCCATTTAAACATGAAAGGAACCGATACGTAGGAATAAACTTGAAACTTCTCCCTTCGGTTTCTTTTAGAAACGTTCGAGTATTTGGCCTTACTGCTTGCACGGTGTATTGTCGTTCTGATATACTGTGTAGAATTAAAAAAAGGAAAAAAAATTGATGTCCCGTCAACTTTGTTCACCCCTATAGAAGTAGTATAAGAATTCACGAGAGGCGAGTAGGTAAAATATGAAATTGAAATTTGATCCGTAGATTGGATCCGATATAACATCACGACTAACAGAATATTGGTTTTCAAAGTATAGGATGAGATAAGAACGGATAACTACGAACATTGTTGTAGAAAGAAAAGCAAATTTTAAAGACGGATCAAATTTCAATTTCATATATTAAATACTCGTCTATCGTTAATACATATTTTACCCAGTTATTTCGTGCAAAACCTAATATATAGATTTTTTCTACGAATTAACTGAATTTGTACATTTCAACAAAGTTACATATAAACATAAATATATATACATATTTATTTTTTTGTATGTATATTATGCAACGAGGAAACGAGATCATATTTCGTGTCATGATTTTATCACAAACGAACGTGTACCACCTATACGGATAGATGGACATGCGAATTTGCCTGTCCGTTTTATCCGTTTTCCTCTTTATTTTTTTCCCCTCCCACCCCCGTTTCACTCTCTCTCTCTCTCTCTCTCTCTCTCTCTCTCTTTTTCTTTCTCTTTCTCTCTTTTTTTCTTTTTTTATTTATTTTTATTCAAGCGAATTAATGACCTATCAAAATTTCGTACCTGTCAAGTTCACGAGCAGATAAGCACGGACGATAATCATCGTAATCGCCGAAACGTGTCGCGTCGAAATTCGCATATTTATGACGCGTTGAATTTTATAGTTCCCATGCAAAATTGCGGTGAACAGCGATCAGGTGAAAGGGGGTGGTGTGGGGTTGGGGGGTAGAAATAGAGAGATAGCGACAGACAGAAAGATGGTAGATGGTGAGTTGCGTAGAAATAGGGTCGTTCCTACTTCACCCCCTCCCTCCTAGTGGGTACACCCTCTGGGAAAAAGCATTCGAACGGAAAAAGCTTTATGTTTTCGGTCGTTCAACCGTTGTACGAACGGACTCTTATGAATATTTAATTTTCTTTCTCATAAGCTTGCATCCGCGTATTCTCTTTCTTTTTGTCTTTCACACTAACACGTTGTTCTATTTCTAACGCAGATGTTTTTCCATAATTTCTGGACATTTTTTTGCGTGTATTCGTGGCAAAGGGGTTCTTACGCCGTGTTGAGTAAAACTAACCCCGTCCAGAAAAAGAAACAGGTAGGAAACGGAAGGAAAGTGAAGTGGGTGATTTTTATTTTTCGTTCATTCCCTCTCTCTCTCTTTCTTTCTTTCTCTTTCCGTTTCTCCCCTTCTAAACCCTTTTATCTCATTTTTTTCCCCCATTTTTTCGTAGAGGGTAAACTTGTTTGGAATCGGCTGAAAAGGCTCACCAGGCGTTGGATTTATTTACTCGACTACTACACTTCCACGTAAAATACTACCATTAGCCAATTATTTGCTAGCATAACATTTTTTCTACCCCCTACCATCCTTCCCGCCCTTTTTTTCTAATCCCACTCGCATCTTTTTTTCCCCTCTCTTCTTTTTTCTCCCCATTTTTCTTTTTCTTATCATATTCTATTCTCTTCTATCTAACTATTTGTTCATTTTCTTTTTGGATATTAAAGGAAAGTTGCACGTGAGCAAAGAGAGGAAACATTTGTACAGAGAAATAGTTTAATTTGTTTTTTCTCATAACGCAAACCAAATCCCTTTCGTGATTATAGAAGGTAGAAGAACGTATTATCAGGAAATGTGAAATATTTGAAATTAGTTTGGTATTTCGTGGTTGTCTTGCGTGCGCTTACATTTAAAATCTCTTTTCAACCGAAATATTATATAATGTATAACTGTTTAGTTGAACAATTTTTTTCTATAAACTTTTACTGTATTCACGTACATTCATATTATATTATAACAGAATCTTGAGGCTTATTATCCTATGAAAATAACTTTTCAAACATCAGAAACATAAAAAAGTATATATATATGACAAGAAAAAAAAATACTTTTTCTTTCTTTCAAATTAAAAAAAATATATATATAATCTAGTTTGTTATTCAAGATATTGATTTTTCAAATACATCTCAAATATTTGTTTGAAAAACGGCGGAAGCAAATTTGTACACCTAATACATAAAAGTAAAGTTGACTCGTTTCCGTAGACGTAATATCCGTTGTAACTATCTTTTTCGAACTTTATCCCTCACTCTCGCTCACTCTCATTCTCATTCTCATTCTTTTTTTTTCTCTTTATACGCGTTCAACTTTCCCGATAAATAAATTCTCTCTTGAACTGTCAAGAGAAAACCTAGAAGGATTAACTCTATTTTGCTGTTTTAAAATCGCGTGTTCTAGATTTCGATCTATTTCTAGAAACGTAATTTCGAATATATAGAAGTAACAATTATACTGTCGCATGATTGAACTTTCAGGTTTTAAATGTTACGTATGTATGATATATATATAATACACAATACATATATATATTTATATACGTATAACACACGGGAGGTATAGTAGAAATCTACTTTGAAAGTAGCTTGGAAAAATATGAAATCGCGCGGGAAAGTGGAAAAGGGTAGAAACGTTGATTCATGAGTAGATATGTGTAAGTAAATAGATATATTTATATACATATACATATATATAAAAGTATATATACATATAAAAGTATATGTATGTCTTTCCCTCTTTCTCTTTCTCTGCATATAAGTGTATATGTTGAAAAGAGAAGGAGAGGGGATAGAAAGAGTGTGTGTGAGAGAGAGAGAGAGAGAGAGAAAATGATAAGGGTGGGGGGTGGATTGGATCTTGCGCCGTCCAGACCAGCTGGCAGCATCCCTTGGTATCCCACGAGCCATCGAATGAAAACGTCGGCAGTCACTCGCGCGGATCCTCGCCCGCGAGATCTCAGCTTTCTTCCGTTTCCTCAGATTTCTCTTGTGCCAATTATTTCAATCGTGCCCTTCTCGAGCCCTTCGTTAACAAATACATAATTATTCTTTTTCATATTAGAGAAAAGAACGAACAATTATATTTTATTAATTCGTACGACTCTTATTTATTATTTTATCATTAAGAATATTATCGGATCGTTTGGAAAATTATTTTATTCCATGTTGTGTATCATTTATTTATTTATCGATTAACGTTGAAATTATATTATTATTTTTCTAGTTTTTTTTTTTTGACACATTGGATTGAATTATATTTGTAGAAGAGATTTTCGTACGAATCGATATTTGTATTATTTCGAGGGATGAGAAATTTTTGAACGAACTAGCGTGAGTTTTGTTTCACGATTAATTCTTTTCTCATTTTCGTTTTATTCTTTTCTTCGTTCCGATAGAAAGTTTTTCAATGTTTTACGAGGAAAAAGAGAAGATTAAATATTTTTCCTTTTTTCTTTCTTTCTTCTTTTTCTTATTTTTATTTAATATATGTATAATATTTTATGATCCCTTAGATTTGTAAGATAGCGTTTTAAAGTATCAAGGGTATAGATTCAAGGACACCCACGCTTCTGTCCTTGACATTCTCTAACGAAACGTGACACACTGTATTTTGATCGCGTTCATAGCAAACGCCCACCGGCAAAGAAACATTTAACGGTGAATTAGATTAGCGATTTGCACTGGCGCCATTCCTTTTTACACGTTCGTATAATACAAGGAAACTTTAATAATCAAATTACTTTGCTTCTACGGTAAATATTTGATTTTTCTTTGAAATATTTCTAATACATTTTATACAAAAAACAAAACAAAATCATTTGTCTATCTTTTTTGTTTTTTTTTTTTATTATCGTTATCAGAAAAATAAATTGTACGTGTTACGTCGGAGATAAAACAATTTCCCGCCAAATAATCCTGATTTTTCTTTTGCTTTTCTTTTTCACTAAATTTTCATTAAAAATCAGAACCAATCGTCGTCTATTAAAAGTACCAACCATTAGTTTAGGAAACACAGTTTGTATTTCGCGTTTCCAGCAGTTTGGACTTTCAGCTGGTCAACTCGTTCGGCAAAGAGCTTACCCGTTCTAAGAGCTAAACAACCTAAGGAGTTTACACATATCGTTGGGAAAGTTTCACCAAAGTTCGTACAAAGAGTCGTGTGCTTTTTTTAGTTTTCATTTTCTTTATTCTACTCTCTTTTCTTTCATTCTTCTTTTACTCTCACCCTCTCTCACCCTCTCTCTCTCCAATTTTTTTCTTTTTTGGATTATAAACCGTGACCTATTAAAATGTTTACCAGATACATCTTCTTGTTATCGTCCCGCAATTCGTTTGAAGGTCGCTAAGATGGGAATTTCGTTTGAAAGAAATTGCTTACGTCACATCGACTTTTTCGCAATCAATCGAGAAGAGTTTCTTGTTGAAACAAACTTTCTTTCAACCTTACTTTGATTACAAAAAGAAATTGAAAGAAAGAGAGACGTCAACTTGGACGAAGAATTTTTAATCGAAAATTCTTACCCTCTCTAGTAACCCCCCTTTTTTTCTTTTCTTTTATCCTTTTTTTTTTTCTTTTTTTACGATAAAGCTTGTTAACTGTTTTGCACGTTAATCGATAGTCTTCGAAAAAAAAGAAAGAGAGAGAGAGAGAGAGAGAGACAGAGAAAATGGCACACTAATCTAACGAAAATTAATCGGAAAGTTAGATTGAAATCACGAACAACTTACGACGCGAGTGTGACATAAAAACAAGGCGATTATTATATTGAAATATAGTTACAATCGTTAATTAACTTCTTTACTTTTTCCAGTCTAAACGTTTCTAAATATTATTATTATTATTTATTTGTTATTATTATTATTAATATTTTTACTTCGAATTGTTATAATTTCTATGCAAGGCTATTACGAATATTATATTAAAATTTGTACGAAAAGAAAAAAGAATATTACGGTGTAGTACTTTTAAATTAAAATTCCAATTTCAATTTGACTAAAACGTTTGAGAATGTTCATTTGGAAGATTAATAAACGATGAACGATATTGAAGGTTTGCAAGATATTGTTAAATCTATATGGCGTTATAAAGATTAATTTTTTTCTTTCATTTAAATCGAAGTACAATCTCGAGAAGGGAATCAAATCATTTTGTTTCTCGGTAGAGACAAAAAATACGAAAAAACGATAGAGAGAAAGTTAAAAAGAAAAGGAACAAAAGATAAAAGTGAAAAGTGAAAAGGTAGATCGTAAACGTTCTTTGGAAGAAAGGAAATAAAAAAATAAAAAGAGAGAGAGAGAGAGAGAGAGGGATAGAGGGAAAAAAGAAAAAATAAAAATAAGAATAATAGTTGTCGTGAAAAAATTAGCAGTGTCCAACCTGGAGTGCCAATGTGGATCACGCGTAGCGCCCGTCTTCATGGGGATGGGCTTTAACGATAAAAAACTGCGGAGACTACGAAGATTGCGGCTTTTTGGCCGCGCAAAAGTTTACCTCACAGTCCGATGGCCGCAACTGGTTTGTTCCATTATTATTATTATTATTATTATTATTATTTTCAATAGATATTACATATTGTCGATCATCAATTTGTTCTATTTTATAAATTTCTCTTCTAGGTATTATAATCGTAAATATAATATAATACCATGATTATTATTTTTCATTCTATACGATATTAAACATTGTTTTTCTCTTTTTAATAATTTAAAGATATTATTAATAATTATACAAGAGGAATAAATTTTTTTAGATATTATCGTATTAACTTAAGATTACTATTTCGTATAACGTTGAAAAGTTAATATTAATTTAAGAACTTGATTAAGCGTAAGTTTTTACCCTATCGTACAATCGAAATTATTTCGAGATACTTTTCTTAATTTTATATTTATTTTTATAATATGAAACAATTATTAGCAATTAAAAAAAAAACAATAAGCTTTAAAGTTTATATGTTATCATCGTAAGGTTCAAATTATTTCGATACTATCTACATTTAATTTTTATTTTACGTAGACGTAATACATATATAGTTCCTTTTTTTGTAAAATATGAAAGTTATTAGGAATTAAAAACAATAAGAGGACATAAGAGGATTAGAAAGTATTAGAAAGTAAAAGAGAACTTGGGAAAAGAACACAAAAAATATCTACAATAAAGGGTTTTAAAGGTGTTAGAAACTCAATGAATTTTTATAGGATTTTCTTGTTTTTTTTTAATCAGTCAATTAAAATGAATAAAGCAGAAGAAGAATAAGAAGAAAAATACTCTTCATATTTGAAAGTTTGCGAGCTTGCAGTTTAAAAGAAAGCACGTTTTTAAATGGTGCTCGGAATTGAGATGTGAATTCTCTTCTTTTTTTTTCTTTTCGCCTATTTACCGAGAGAGACCGTTTGATATCAAGGTGGTTAAAATGGACTTTCACTGAAAGAACAACCATGCGAAAATTCGAGGAATCGTTTTATCTTTCCACTTTTCTCTCTTTCACTACCTATCTCTTATTCTTTTCTTTCGATCGAGATCGTCAGATAAAAATAAGCTCCATGGAGCTAGCTAGCTAGCATTTTCTTCTTCGACTTGCCTGCTTCTTGTCGTTAAAGCTCGTCCTCTTGGAGATAAGCGTACCGAACGTGATCCGAATTGAATACTTCCGTTTGATAACTGACAAGCTTATGGAATAGTTACTTTTTCGACGATCGAATCGCAACATCATTTTATGATTCTCATCTCTATGAAAGAATATCAAATAGAAATAATCATCGAGGTGTGATCGAAACTTATGAAATATTATTATATACATTTTAACATTTTCAACGCGAAACTTAACGACAATTTTACGTTTAACTTTCTATTCGTTCTTCCATTTTTTTTTTCTATCATAACCGATGAAATAATCAAAATTATTATACAATATTTTAATACAAATTCTTATATTATTTTATACACGTTAACAACAAATTAATCAATATTTATCGTTATAAAATAGCTTCTAAACAAAACGTAGAAAAAAAGATAAAAATAATTTCATTGGAAAATATTAAGAACAAAATTTTTTAGCATTGAACGTTTCGTCTCTGCCATAATTCGATATGAAAATATGTTAAACTACTCGTTCGGTTTGATAAAATAGTGTCATTGTCGTGTAGATTATTTCTTTAGCATCGATTACAAACGATTACTCGATTCACAGAGTTTACGATATCGTTCTCCGAAGTAATATTGTGTGCCCGAGAATTTTGAATGTTCTCCTCCTTGTATATAAACGTGTATAGGTATCTGTGTGTTTGTATGAGTATCCAAGAATATATAGGTAGGTAAGTTAACATGGATATGTGTAAAGTGTGTGCACTTCTACGGATGCAGTTCAAGAGGACTCCATCTCTAAGCGGATGCTGGGGATGTCAGAAGTTCTTGCGCGATGTCGTGCCTTCCTCAAATAACACTTGGATCGACCGACGGTGGTACCGCATTGTTGTGGATCCTCAGAATCGGATTGAAATTTTCAAACTACTTCCTCGCTATCCGCCATACTGTCGGTTAACATTTTTCATTGTAATCCATGTTAAATAATAATAAAACAAAATAATAATGTCTTCGTTATATTCTCCGTTTCGTTTCTTTTTTCTTTTATATTTTTATTTTATTTTATTGTTTGTTTTTTTATTCCGAGCTACCAATTACTTTGACACTATTTTTGCGTGATATGTATATATATAATTTCAACGGGTTAACGAAAAATAAAATAAGTCGTGTCATATATTGCATTTATCGTATGTATTATTAAAACAACGATATACACAGAGGAGTTTTGGTATAAAGGAAATATATATATATATATATATTTATTGAAGTTAGCTCTTTGAATCATAAAATCGTTTACCATGATAAACAATAATTCCTCGTTCCATGTGTAAACTTGCAATTAGTATCTTTTCCGAAACGTAGAAACGTTATCCGCGTTCTTTGATTATACCTGCGAACGGTGTAATTTCAAATTTTCGTTGTATGCATAGTATTTCTCTTCAAACTCACCGGCAATATTTTCCACTTTAAGCTTTGTTACAAACAAGAATGGAATATTAACTTGTCGATGGGGGAGTATTCATTGTAATCTATTCGCATACATATATACTATATTTATATATATAGATATATATACACACATATATATCTTTAGAAAGAGTAACAAATCGTATGCAAACTTAAATAATAATCCTTCTGTAAACGCGTTATACATTTCCCATAAAATATTAACGAGTTTTCTTGATTATTTGTTGTATAAACGAAACTCCTATATTCGAGGCTATTTGCAAACACGACACATTTCTATTTAAAGGGGTGGGGGAGGTGGTAGGTTGGGAGACAAATAAACAAATTGCGAGAATAATGTTGTTTTGAAATCGATATTTCAAAAAAAAAAACCAAAAAAAAAAAAAAAGAAATAAATTTCTCTACGGAAATATAATATAAATAAATCGAATATGATAAAGATGAAAATTGTTGTATTATATTTTTCGTTATAAATAACGCGAACTCATAGTTTTGTTCGTTTAATACAAAAATCGATACACGTGCGAGATGATAAAAAAAAAAAAATATTTGAACAGTTGTAGGGGAATTTATCAAGAGGAAACATTACGTGTAAGATGGTCGCGAGCCGGTAGGAAGAGGCACGTAACACGTATGAACTACAAATTTCGTGGGACGTTTATTCTTTTTAAAAAAGAGAAAGAGAGAGAGAGACAAGGATTGGAGATAGTGACACACAAGAAGGAATGAGATAGAGAAAGACAGAGAAAAAGAGAATCGCTGAATCTTGCTTGACTACGCTCTTTTCTGATTCTGCAAAAGCTTCGGACGAGTATGGGAAAGAAGATACTGAATATTCTAACGATGTTAAAATATTTCTTACCGGTTTCACCGTTGGTATCTTTCAACATTCCGTGCTACGTCTGAGGAGGTTGGGCGATGGTTTTTCTTTGGAAACGAAACTATGGAATATATAAAATACACATACGGTGTGTGTGGTTCAGAAGTCTTTTCTCTTTTCATTTTTTCTTTTTCTTCATTTTGTTCCCCATTTCTTTCTTTCTCTCTCTCTATCTCTCTCACTCTATCTCCCTTTTTATCTATTTATTTATCTCAAAATGCGTCGTAAAGTTCTCACGCGAGTATTTTTCGGTTCACGTGGTGGCAACGAAGGAGAAATCAGTAATGTCGCGAACTAGATCGTTTCAACCCGACGTATTTTCAACCGTTTACTTGTCTCGCCTATTCTCTCGTCATTTTTCGATTGAAATGTAGAAGAAGAAGAAGAAGAAGAAAATCGAACCGTGAAGAAATAAAGATAAAGAGAGAGAGAGAGAGAGAAAGAGAGAGACAAATATAGACAGATAGATAGATATATGGATAGATAGGTAGATAGGTAGATAGATAGATAGATAGATAGATAGATAGATAGTAAAAAGGAGAAAAGAAGAATCGAGAGTTGGTGAATTTTACCATCATATCTACATTCAATTTTTCCTCAAGCATGATATTACTTCGCCATAGCGCGTGATGCTCGGCGACGACAACCATCAATATTCTTTTATTCATTCTTTTACTCTCTTTTTCGTGTATATTCTTTTTTTTTTTTTATTTTCACATCGTATCGTATAAAAAAAGAGAAGAAAGAGAGAAACAAAAAGAAGAAGGACCAAACGTCTCTTTGACTCCATCCAATTTTCGTTTCGGTGCTTTAAAACAAATTTACTCGCGTTCCACGAGCTTCTTCAAATTTTCCTCGACCCAACCTACCTACTCCCATACGTTTGCTCGAGAACGTTTCTTCTTTTTTTCTTTATTTTTCATACAAAACGCGAATAGATAGATATACACGACGTCGTTGC